GAATTTATAAACAATATATCTTAGCACAGCCTGGAAATAAAGAGGGGGTTTGCTCCTGAGCAGCAAGGGGAGGCTGAGCAACACGGTTTCAAATAGGATTTCTCAGATAATAAAAATTACTTTGCCTCTGATTTCATCAGATCCAGATTCCTCCCTTTTTATCTGTACAGTGCCACRATGAGGCTTCAGTGACGTTGGGAGGTGTCAGATATTAGAGGCAGACAGGAGACAAGAAGAGGAAATCTTTACAAAATATCAGGGTTACTTTATTTGGGAAGGAATTACGCCCTTGAAGGGAGAGCTGYCCTTGTGGCAGCGCTGAAACCTGCAGAATTCACCCTGATTTTACACCCCTCCAGGTCAAGATTTTGATGGGGATTTCAAAGACCTTGGCTGTTTGAATCTGTGCATTTCATATCCATGAATTAACATCCCAAAAACCAAAAACAGATTGGCTGAACAATGCAACAGAGCACAAAGCCACCTCTGCTGCACTTTCAAATCTAATGACTTGACACCTCTTTCTTTTCTCAGATTTTCTGTTTTCTATCAGCCCTCTTAAATACATATTATTCTTTCATGCTCTCAAGATCAAAGCAAATAGCCATCAACAATCTTTTGTTCACACGAGACAACACGTTCRGAGATGGTTTGTTTGGCCTGGTTAATTAAAAGCTGTACCTATCATCCCTGCTTGATTTCTCAAGTTCTTCGCTTAAAAAGTATGTGTGACAATTTTAATGAGCTCTCACTTCTTCCCCACATCCTCGTGGCTTCTGCACAAACTTTGCAAACTCTTCTTTTTGAACATCACACGGAGCTCTGACTCCAGCAGATCCTGTTGAGGTGATTTGTTTTCCCTGCCTGCACACGGTGCTCGTCTCATCTCCTGATGGAGACACTCAGAGAGGAATTTCAATGTTTATACGTGATGGGGTGAAAGCAAAAGAGGGTCAGGTTGGATTAGGAATGAGGAAGAAATATTTCACAATGTAGGTGACAAAACACTGCCACAGGATGCCCAGAGAAGCTGTGGCTGCCCCTGCATCCCTGGAAGTGTCCCAGGCCAGGCTGGGCGAGGCTTGGAGCACCCTGGGATGGTTTTTAAGGTCCMTTCCAACCCAAACCRTTCCACAGTTCTACATGGAATAATATTTCTCGATATTCCCAATCCTTCCTGGCGTGCAGGAAATTTGTATGAAATGACAGAACTGGATTTGATCTCTCCATTTCCTCAGAGCTGTGACACTGTGGGAACAGATCCCAGGGGCCTCTTTCACCTCCTTTGCACAAATCCTTTATTCTCACAAAGCTGCACCTCTTTATACTTTCAATTTTCCCGGGCTGAGCTCCCATTGGCTGTTTGCTCTCCACCTGCTTGTGAGATTTGTGCTTTCACCCCCTTGTCCAGCACTTATTTATCTACTGAGAGCATTCCAGTTCTCCTGGCAGACAAAATATTCTCCTCACATTGTGTTGGAYGAGTTAAACTTTTCTGTCTCATCACAACGCTTGGAATTACCTTGTCCTGTGATGCAGCTGCTCAGAATTATTATCTGCAGCCTCCAGTGTTGTGGAAATGTTTYCCAGGCAGCCTTTCAGCAGGTGCCTTTCGCAGCTGCTTTTTGAATTGTTTGTCAGAGTCTGCTCCAAAGCCCACTAAAGGAAATATTCCCATTGCCTTCAGCACCACAGCTCCGTGTTTGGGAAGAGAAATGGGAGAGGACAAAGTGAACCCRCCCAGGGCAGAAAGTCGTGGCTCTGAGGGACTTTAGGGTGACTCTGCTGCTCTTGGTAACTGGGGCTCTGTTTCAGAGAGCTTTTCTCTGTTTCTTCTTGCATTTGAAATGCAGCATTTTTGATTTTCTGCTGTGCTCTGTCTTCTCACCCCTCTCCTKATACAAACCTCAGGACAGCTGGAAATTTCTCACTTTAAAAAAAAATTATCTTCAATTCCCTTCCCCTGTAAACTGGTTACTTTGGAGTCCTTTGTGTTCCTACACAAATTCTGCCTGAGTATTTTATTTACTGCTCGCTCTAATTGTCGTTAGGTAGCGTGACCCATTTCAAACAGCTCAAGAGCTTCTATTTCTCACATTTTTCTCTCTGCTAAGCTCCATTTTGATCCACTGAARGAGCCATTCCATCCTCAGCCTGCCCAGCCATTGAAATATTGTTTCAGAACAGCTTTTCCTCAGATCAAACACGACACTGTCAGCTCTTGAGCGGGTACAAACCCCTCTCAGTGGCGAAATGAGAGAGATGGGAATTATCAAGGTCTCGATTCATCATGGAGAAGACAGGGATGAAAAATCTGAGGCATGACCAAACTTCAGTGGAAAAGCTGTAACCAGAACCCACGGGGGTTGAGACAGAGCTTTCAAAGCTTCTCCCCTTTGCTATTCTGTATTTTACTGATTTTTTTTTTTTTTCCTGTGTATTTACCTACATTGAAGCTTTTGGGGACTGAGATTGTAGTTTTAGGTGGTTTTTTTGCTTTATGCCACCTCTGGATTTTAATTTGCACCTCAGAGCTTTTAGGTGCAACTGCAGTAAAAATAACAGGTCATCAATATTTGATGGAGAGAAAGACACGAAGGTGGCTTGTTAGAAATGATTATTCAGGTACCCAGTTTGTGAACATTTGCTGATTCACGCTGGAATCTCTTTGGACACTGTTTGATGAACACCATATGTTACCCAGCCACTCGAGTGCATCCCCTGTTTTATCACCAGCAGTTTTTCTGGTGGCTGGTGCGAGCTGATGTGAGGAAACGCATCATTAATGCAAAAAAAAAAAAAGTATTGCAGAGGCAGAAGGGGAATATTTGGAAATGTTTCTCCATGTTCAAAGCTGCCTTTGACACAGAGGCACAGGTGGGTCCTCACACACCTTGCCCTAAAATCCAACCTAACCCAGCTTCACTCATCCTTTCTTATCCAAAAAAGATCATCCAGCTGATCTCTGTGTTGAAGGGTGGACTTTGCTGCTTCCTGCTTTGCTCTGCTCTGGTTTAAAATGATGGATTATTAAACCTGAACCTATTTCCTCCCTGTGCCACAAGTGGCAAACCAGCAGCTGCTGCAGTACCCCGTCATTATTGCCAAGGAAACAAAGATTTTTCATCCCAGCCCAAATCCCTTCCCCTCTCAGCTCCACAGCCCAGTGACAGCAATCCTAAACGCACCTTGACCTGCTCAGGAGAACATCTCTGAGCAGGGAAAGGTCAGAGGAGTGTGGRAGACATGAACCTGGGGGGATGTAAGCAAGAAAAACACCAGAAATCCAAGTTTAGGGTTTCCCTTTCCCAGCTGAGAGGCTGAGAGAGTGCAGCAGAATCAGGACAAGGTCTGATGTGTGTTCCACCTGCAGCTACAAGTGTGTAAATGCCAGACTGGAAAACAGAAACATGCTGTGCTGATTTTTTTCTTTTTTTTTTTTTTTTTTTTTGTGTGTGTGTTTAATGGTTCTGATGCTCCTGCCAGCTCCAACTTCTGCTCTTGTGATTGTTCATTTCCTTTAATAATTCAGCACATCACCCAATCTTATGTTGTTAGTAATAAATATTAAATACCCAAGCTGTGATGCATGAATTAGAGATTTTCTATTTTATGAAAGGATTCTTGTATTAGAGTTACATGTCAATTAAATGAGGGGTATAAAAAGTGATGCAGGGCTGCTGCAAGTGAATGGAGCCCGTTTTCCTGTGGAGTTGTGATTTACACTGGATTTTTTTGAGTGTAAGGAAATGTGGCATTTAGGTGCAGATTCTCTGAATCCTGTTAAGGACTGAGCTTAGAGGCAAGAGGAGAAACACATGGAGACTCTGACCCTATTTTTATGCAGCTTCCAGGACCTTCGTGCCCTAAATTTCCTTTAAACTCAGAAAAAATTTGGTCCAGAAATTCCACATTTACCAGGTGCAGCACGTGGGTGTTGAAGAGCTGGTTAAAAAAAAATCTAAAATATTTCAGAATAATATTTTCTATTCTAAAGTCCATTGCTCAGCTAATTCAGTTTTGATTTTAAAATCCTCTGCTTTTAGGTGTGTGTTCTGTGTGTTCCTGAAGAAAATCCCCAAAATTCTGATTTGTGCCCTTCTCTGTGACAGCAGAAGGGTGTCAGGCACACTGTGGCAGCTTACCCAAGGAAATCATGTGCCAAACCTTCTACTGACATCCTAAAGCACCTCATTAACATGAAAAAAAAAAATATATAGAAAGAAGCTTAAAAAATAATTTTGCCCATAAAACCCAGGAGTGGTCCTGAAATTGCCATTAAATGTGATTTTCCCAGTACTCTGCAAACTGATATCAACAACTCCAAGGTGGTTTGGGGCCCTTTCAGACAGTGCTGAATTTGATTTGGTTCCTGGGCTTGTGAGGTGGTATTTGARCATCTCAGCCAGTCTGATAATATCTTTTAATAATGCTGAAAAAATTCCACAGGCAGCTGGGCTCTCACACAACTTTAGCTTGGCTTAGGAACACCAGGATCTGTAAAAAAATAAAGCATCTCATGATAAAAAATAACAAAATTCAGTAGCAAGTTGTGTCTTCTGACTTTTTTCTTGAGACTCCAGATTTTGCTGTAAGAAAGTCTCCTGGATAATCAATGATCAAGCCCAGTATGCCAACAGAACATTTCTAATATGGAAATTAATAAGCAGCAGAGGTGAAAATAGGTTAACACATACTCAGATTGCTGTAGAAGAGAAAACTCATAACATTTCAATATTAAAAGTAGCGTTGGATTTCTGTTACTATTCCTCTAGCAGAAATCTTTTTTGCTTTTATTTTTCTGTTTTTGCCCATAAAAGTTGTGGATTCCCCAGCCCTGGCAGTGCCTAAGGTTGGGTTGGATGGGGCTTGGAGCCACCTGAGATAGTGGAAGATGTCCCTGCCATGGCAGGGGTGGGATGAGCTGTAAGAACCCATCCAACCCAAGCTGTTCTGGGCTTCTATGATTCCATTTTGTTTGGTTTTTTTTTTTTCCCCAGGGTGGCATTCCTGGAGAATGGCAGCCTCAGGATCTTCAATATCACCAAGGCAGACGCTGGGGTTTACACCTGTGTGGCCACAAACCAGTTTGGATCTGCCAGAAACTCGGGGACCCTGATTGTGAAAGGTATTTCAGTGTTTCCTTCTTTCGTGGAACAGGACGAACTTTAAATTCCCTTCCAACCCAAACCATTCTGGGATTCTCTTATTTGAATTTGGAATTTTTTTCTCTTCACCTCCTTGTTTTCAGTAGTACAAGATGGTTGCTGCAGCCTGCAGTATGACCTCCTCCCTAACTTTGCATCTGGCAAAAAAAACTTTTYAATATTCACCTTCTGACAGAGCAATTAGCACTGATACAGCTCAGAGTGTGACCTGAGCTGGTGCTGCAGCACAGCCAGAGATGAAAACACCCAAAATTTCAGGGTTTCAGCAGCTCTGACTTCATTAAGGCTCTGTCCCCTTTCACATGACCCATACATTGCTTCAATATGGGAAAATCCCATTAAAACATGAAAAAAAAACCCCACATTATTTTGTTTGGCATTTATGAAGTTTATTAAAACACTGAGTAACAAACATGGTATAAAAACGATCTTGTTTGCAGGGAACATTTGTTTTTGTTTCCCCTCTGGAGAAGTTTGGGCTGTTCAATTATAGGCCTCATTGCTTCAGCATTATTTTCAACTGAAATGTCAGAACTTGGGAAAGCATAGCTAATGTGCAAATTAAGTTTATTGCTGCTCATTGAGTTGTTTATTCTTTGTGGGAGAAGTCTTTATTACACCTCCAGCACTCACAACATCTTCCCTCTTCCCTCCTCTGGAATGGGATTTGCCATTTAGTGCCTGTTTGCTGTTGCTAAGCGAGATGGATGGATCAGGCAGAACCAAGAGCTTTTAAGAAGCTTTTAGAAGTATTTGAGGTGGAAGTTTTGAAGACAAGCCCATAAAAAAAGCAGAAAATATCACCCAAGCRAACATTCTGCATTAGTGGGGATGAGGAGGATACAACGAGAGGTGCAAGAGGATGGGAGTACCATAATAAATTTTTTTTTTTTTTTGCTCTCACTACTCAAAAACACACATCATGCCCAAACCCAGCATAATTCCAAAAAGGACAGATTTCAATATTTATTTGGTGGAGACATATTGGTTCATGCTAGCAATAAAGGAGGTTTTTTTACAGTAAAAGCATTTGGACAGAGCTTGGATCACCCTGGGGTGGTGGAAACTGTCCCTGCTATGGCAGGGTTTGACACTGGGTGGGGTTTAAGGTCCTTTCCAACCCAAACCGCCCCAGAATTCTGTGATTTCCAACAAGAGGAGTTGARCTGTGATGAGCACCGCACTAACACAGCTCTCACACATTTCCTTCTCCTCCTCTCACATTATTTCCAGGACATATTAATATCGTCGAAGAGATTCTGCTCTCATTTTCTACATGTGTCTAAATCCTCACCATTTCACAACACTTTCATGCACAAAAGCTTTATTCAAGGGAATTGCTTACAACAAAGTGGTTGTTATCTCCAATCTGTCTGCCAGTCACATCAACACAAGTGAAGCCATATAAACCTATTTCTTTCCAAGCCATATAAACCTCTTTCTTTCCAAGCCATATAAACCTATTTTTTTCCCTTCAGCGAGCTGATACCTCTCTTCATAACAGCTGCAAGTTTGGGTCTCAATGTAACGGGTTAAAATGGATCAAATAAATAATTTTCCTGTGTGGGAGCTTCTTTGGAGCTGTAACATGAGGTTTGCTGTGGAGCAAAGTTGTACTGACATAAATAAAGATTAAGGATGGTGATGAATAGAGGAAGTGGGGATGAGCAGCAATTTTGCTTTTGCTGCAGTTTTTTGGTCAGGAGAATCCTTCAAGTTTGAAGAGCCCTCGGGCACATTTTTAAGAGTTGTAATGAAGTCTGCACTTTCTGACTGAAATCATAACTATTGATGATGGGCTTTATGAAGTCATATAATTTAGGGTGTTCCTAATAGAAATATGAACTAATTTAGGGTGTTCCYCTGACATCACACAACTGAGTGGTGGGGCTGGTGCTGCCATAGGAGTGGTCTAAAATAATCACCAAAGTAGAGAGAATACCTTTTATTACAGAACATTTGGCCAATTTGAAATCCTTTCCCAAAACTCCTTCAATAACTGCGATTTTTATATGCATTTTAATTTAAAATATCTATTTTTTTGTCTCCTCAGAAAGGACTTTCATCACTATTCCACCTTCTGACACGGATGCAACCGTTGGGGAGAGCATTGTCCTGCCATGCCAGGTGTCCCATGACCCCTCCCTGGACGTGGCATTCTCGTGGGMATTCAATGGCCAGAGGATCGATTTGAGCAGAGGAATCCATCACTTTGAAAGGATTGGAAGGGTGAGTTCCCCAAACTCCTTAATGAAACTCCTCACCACAGCCTTTACACGGCACAACTGTTTATCATAATTCCTCCCTCGCTGTTTATGCGCCTGGCAAATCACTGTTTCTTTACAAGGGCTGCAACCATTTATTTTGCTTCCCTAAATTTCATAAAGGCGCTTGAGTTATTTGTGAAGCCATAATAAAAATGTCCCCATGAAAGAAACTGATGATAGCCATGAATATTTTAATTTAAAAGCTGAATTCTTTATTAATATTGAGCAATTTATAAAAATGCCCAGTATGGAAAGCATGTTGTGAGTGATTAGTTTACCTTTTTTTTTTTTTTTTTTTTTTTTTTTTTTTTTTTTTTTTTTTTTTTTTTTTTTTTTTTTTTTTCCAGGAATCTGCTGGGGATTTGATGATAAGGAATATTCAGCTCCATCATTCTGGGAAATATGTGTGCACGGTGCAAACTTCTTTAGACAGCCAATCTGCAGCAGCAGATATAATTGTCAGAGGTATGTCTGTACTGGAGACACACAGATCTGGAGGAATTAGGAATTTTTTACATCAGCTGTTGTTTCAATGATTCCTAGGATATCAGTTCCATATTTCAATGTGAAATGTTTTATCTCTGGTRCTCTTGGCCCCAGATTGTGGCTAGCATGATCCTGGTGTTCAGCCAACCTGGTGAAACCTCTGCCATTCTGTCTTGGTCTCTCTGAAAGACAAAATTTTGGGGCCACGCAGGTCAGAGGGAAATCCTCTGATTTCAGCARTGTTGTCACTTCCTCCAGGCATCCCTGGGTCACTGTGCAGGCTGGGAAAATCAAAAAACCTCATTCCTTTCCCCTATTTGGAGATAATATGAAATAATATTTTCAAATTCAGCTTTTTACTGCCAGCAGTGAGGAAATGCCGTCATGGGAGCGGATCTGTAAATCCTAAGAGAAATCAGAAATCTGTGTAGTGCACCATACTGCATTCTTTCTGAAAATTCAGTGGGAATTCTCAGAATGTTCGATAGTTCAACGAAAGACAACGCYGGGTGCCTTTCTTTGTCAGACAAAAGAAGAAATCATTCCTTTGTTTGTAGTTTTCATGTTAGCAACATCAAGACATTAATTTCCCTGACTCGTAAAAATGTAATCCAGGCGTGGAGCCATCAGTTAGAGCTTGTGCTGCTTTTATGACACTGCAGCTTCATGAATAATTCCCCTGACTTCAGCAAGTGAGGGCTGCCCGACCCGTTCCGGCGGGGAATCTTCTCTTGCCAATATTTTCCTCTTAAAATGCCRATGGTATCAGGCCCCCCAGGTCCACCAGAAGATGTTAAAGTTGAACATGTTTCTAGCACGACTGCTGGCTTGTCCTGGAAGCCTGGAGTAGATAACAACAGCCCAGTGCAGATCTACAGCGTGCAGACCAGGACTCCCTTCTCGGTGGGATGGCAGGCAGTGGCCACAGGTGAGAAATTCAGGAGTTTTCTTGGATTTGTTTTCACTTATACATTAATTTTCATGTACAATTAATTACCTCAATAGGTGAGAAATTCAGGAGTTTTCTTGGATTTGTTTTTAGTTATACATTAATTTCCATGTACAATTAATTTCCTCAAAAGGTGAGAAATTCAGGAGTTTTCTTGGATTTGTTTTCACTTATACGTTAATTTTCATGTACAATTAATTTCCTCAAAAATCCATTGTTGGTGTTGTGCTTGCCTTTAGCTCCTGAGGTCATTAATGGCAGGACTCACAAGGCCACGGTGGTGGATTTAAGCCCCTGGGTTGAATATGAATTCCGAGTTGTTGCCAGCAACAGCGTTGGGATCGGGGAGCCGAGCAGACCATCAGCTCTGCTGAGGACCAAAGCAGCAGGTAAGGCCCTGCTTTCTGCCTGTTTTTTTCCAGTTTCCAGGTGAGGGAATTTTACTGGGTTATTTACCCAATTCCAAAGGCAGGGAACCTTCCACCAGAACACCTGATGGGGCTCAGAAYAGCCTGAGCTAGTGGAAGATGCCCCACCCCATGGCATTAAGTTATCTTTGAGGTCCCTTCCAACCCAAACCATTTTGGGATTCCTTGACAAAGGCTGGAGTTGGCCTGGGGTCCTGCCTTTGGTATGTCCCAAATGCCTGAATGCAAATAACCTTTCACTGAGGCAGCTGAGGAGAAACATTTGTGTTTTTCCAATTAAATGCAGGATTTTACCCTGCTCCGGGAGTTTCACATGAAATGATAACTGCACTCKCTGGATATCCCAGCACAAGCCCTGGCTGCTGAGGTGTTTGACCACCAGAAGGAGCAGGATTTTGGCTTTTATTTATTTTATTTTTTTTTTGTGGGTGTTGGAGGAAATCACTGGCAGCACCCAAAGCCCAGTGAAACCATCAGCTTGCCCTGGCTCCAGAGTGGATCCTTACTCTCTTGTCCATCTGTCCTTTATTCATTYATCTCCTGGGAGCTGGAACCTCGTGGAAAGCAGCCTCATTCTTGGRTGACCACACKGTCACTCCTTTCACCTGCTCAGTTTCCTACAATTTATTTGCAGCCCAAACCTTTGGTTTGTTTTATGTTCCTCCCAGCCCCCTGCTTATCAACTCTCTCCCACCTATAAAATCAGTATTTATAGGACAGAAAGCAGTAAAAGGGAAGCAGCTTTTACAATCCACTTTCTCTCCTCTGTTTATCTCATTTGCCAAGCTCTGAAGTTTGGCAGGCTGCATTTCAGGACAGAACTCAAAACACAATATTGTACATTATACAGAAGGAATTTTTTTATTTTTTTTTTTTTTATTTTAGAATGTGGAATCCATTTGTTTCTGGGAATAGAGTGGCTTGGATTGGTAGGGACCTTAAGCACCATCTAGTTCCAACCCCCAGCACCTTCTAGAGGAGGTCAGAGTTTTTAAATTTCCCAGCAGAATGGCACAAATACATATTCTCCCTTACATGATTGATCACAAAGCCCAAATTAATCTTGARAAGGTTTTTGTTGCTGTTACCACCGTGGGGCTTTGTAAAGTGGGATATTCCAAACCATGCAGTCAGTGAAAGCTTTCATCTTTKAAAGCTTTTATTTATTTATTTATTCGAGGGATTCACAAGACTGGGGCTGCAAGGAGAAAGAAACAATGAAATTATTGTTATTTATCATGGCAATAACACAGGGAAGATTATTTCCTTACAGAGTAGCTCAGTCTGAAGTTTAACAAAGRGGACAGAAAGACTCACTTCAGGTTTGAGTTGCTTAACCCCTTCACTTCTCAAAACAGGGAGAGAATAAGAGCTTTCATTAATTTTTTAATCAGAATAGGAAACTGAAATCAGCAGGAGGGTGTGGACACCAAACACCTGGCCTGAAAAGGGTGAATTTGAGCTCTGCTGTTGTAGTAACTATTTTGCCAGCTGAAATCTGAGCATTAGTAGACTTGTGGATGCAAATGAGCCACTGTTCATTTCATTAAAATGGAGCTGAAAATTAATTGAGCCTCTGTTGGCGCACTCAGCCGTAAATTTTCATCTGTTTCTCAACTCTGACCCAGTTGAGGCTCTGCTGAGCAGTAGCRCGAAATTTTCCCCATGCAAATGTCGTAAGCGCTGAACACATTTAACACATGAGCTAATTGAGCATCAGTTGGTTCATGAAACAGTGAAACACCAGGCTCGAAAGTTTGTTTTGCATTTTCCATGCAGCTCTTGTCAGTCTGAGATTATTTGCCTCTGATGTGCCCAGACATTGGCTGTGAGTGACAGAATCCAACAGCTCTGYGAAAGCCTCCAGAAGAGCCCAGACTGTTTGCACTTGCACTCACTTTTATGGCTGCACAGCAACATTATCCTGAAATTCCACCCGTTTCTGGAAGATGAAATTAGATAGAGATTTATACATGGACTGGAATCTGGAAATRATAATGTGCTGACATCAATTTCTGTGAACTTAAAGCCCCGTTGCTTTTATTGYCACCCCTGGAACTGGGCTAATGCATTTGTCAATGGGAAGGACAAGCAGATCTGGCAAAACTTGCCCAAAATCTCTGAAAAAAAGCTTTTTGAGGTTCAAGTATCCACTTATTTCTCACCCTACACATTAGRTTTTCAGACAGTGAGAGCTGAATGAAGGGAATGACAAAACAATCTTAACATTTCTAATAAATGGGTTTGGAGGTGACCGGTCCAAATGTCCTGAACAGGTTTCCTGTCTCTGCCAGCTCCAGGGATGTCCTCTTCTTTTACACTTTTTCAGCAGCTGAAAAAGGGCATTATATCAGAGAATCATTKAATGGTTTGGGTTGAAMGGKACTTTAAAGAAGAAATACAGAGCAAGAGGCAGAAAATGCTGATATTCTCTTTGCCTCTCCATCATGAGTCCCTTGAACCTCAGCACAGTTCCCTGATCTCAATCCYRTASCTCTGGTGCCAMACACCTGGGGAATGCTGCAGAAATYCAGCCCTAATCAACCAACTTTGGGACACTTACATTCTTAGGAGAAGGAGAAAAGCAAATTGCGAGTTCTGATTTTGCTAAGAAAAGCATACAACCAATTAAAAAAATTAATATATTGCTCCAACAACATGTTTACTGAACAAATGCATAATTAGTAAATCAGTAGTGTTGCAACTACAGCCTGAATGGAACATCATTTTGCCAATTAGTTGATGAGGCATAATAATGTCAGATACTTGATGCTCCTAGTTCTTTAATTAATTTTTTGAACCAGGGAACTCGTGTATCAAATGCATCTGTGGCTTCAGCCTTAGAAACTTGAAAGCGTGCAAACATCATTTCAGTTCATTTAAAATGATTTGTCGTGCAGTGTAATCCCTGTTCCACCTGCTGAGAGGAGGAATGGCTGCAGGTGAGGGGGGAAATGCTCTGATCACCCACTTGGAAAAGCCTCCAAGGTCTTTGTGCAGAGCTCCTTGTCCAGAACTGGACACTGCCCTCGAGGGGCAATCACTGCTCTGGTCCTGTGGCCACATTTTTGCTGGTCCAGGCCAGGTGACCTTGGCCTTCACTGGGCACACCTGTGTGACATTCAGCTGCTGTCACCAGCACTCCCATGTCCTTCCCTGATGGGGCTCTTCCCAAGGGTTCTTTCCCAGCCCGGAGCTCTCCATGGTGCTGTTGTGACCCAGGAGAAGGAGCCTGAAGTTCACCTCGTTGAACCTCCCACCACTGGCCCCATCCCATGGGTCCAGCTCACCCAATCCCTCTGCAGATCCTTCCAGCAGATCCACAATCCCACCCAAATTAATGCCATCTCTGAACTCCCTCCATCCCTTTGTCCAGACCATCCTAAAACCATCCCCATGGCCCAGGACTGAGCCTTGGGGAGCCAACTGCAAACACTGACACCTTTTCTTCTCCAGTTCCTGTGGTGCCACCGACAAACATCGGAGGAGGAGGAGGGAGCCGCTCTGAGCTCGTCATCACATGGGAGGTAATTCTTAGCCCAATTAACCTCTGCTGTCTAATGGGGAAGAATCCACGGGTGAAATCACAGCCCTGCTGAAATCCATAGGCTTTTGGTCACTGGCTTTGGTGGAGCCTGGATTTCACCCTGCATTTCACCCTGCATTTCACCCTGGAAGTGGAGAGCAAACAGCCTGTAAGACATACAGCAAGTTTTCTGTGTTATAGGGAACAATTTATAGAAATAAACAGTTTAAGAGGCATGTTGTAAAGATGTTTAGAAGTCTCTATAACCCTCTTATCTCCATTGTGCAGGAGGTGCTTAACACACTAATCTGCTTGGCCATTTTCTGCATTTACATTTTTCCTACTTTTGTTTACATGTTTTCCATTCTGGAACACTGTGCTGACAAGACATATCCTATTATGCGTTAAAGGAGATGAGCCCTTTAATTCTCCAGCACTCCAGCGAGAGCAAAGAATACACATTTTCAGAGCAGTTAATACCAGGCAAGTTGCAAAGGGTGAGCACAGGTCATTTCAGAGTGCTGTGGGAAGGAGCCTCCTTTTCCAGCCTCCCACAGGCACTGGGATGAAGGCAGGCAGCCTCTGGCAAAGCCCTGCACTGATGGAGCAGCTGCTTGGTCAAAGTGTCAAAAATCAGAGTAAAAGAAATTTAAAAAATATCCCTACTAGATAAATAGCACTGCTGAGGTTTTGCCCTCCCCGTGCTGCAAACAGTGAAATTCCACTTTCCCTGAACTAAGTTTCCCTCCCTCYACACCTTTCACTCTTTTGTTTCATTTTCTCCTCTGCTCATCTYCTCTTTGGGAGCAGAAGAACATGAAAATCGAAAACAACCTGAGAGATCTCAATCAAATTATCCTTTTGGACTCCATAGTGTGTCCTGAAAAACAGTCAGAAGAAATCCTAATTATGGCCAGCTAACAACTCTGAACGACTCTGTGGCTTTCTGTGATGAGCTCACTAAATGTCTTGATTAAATCTGAGGTCACAGAAGCCTCAAAAACAAATTAAATGCTCTAGAAAGTAGCTTGAACTCTTATAAATCCCCAGTGAGCCATCATCCYTCACGTTTAACTCTCTCAGGACTGGAAAAGAGATGGAAAGGGAAGTACTGGGGAATTGATATTTGTAAAACACTGAAGGAAAGACACGTGTCACAAGTGCCAGGGCAGGTTTATTATCATTGTTTTTACTATTAGAAAGAATTTATGATGAAAATAACAACATAAGTGCCCTGAAATCTTCTGAAGTGCTTTCAGATTTYCCCCCATCATCTCATGCTGTTTGTGCTCCCAAGAGTTTGCAGGAGGAGAGGTTGGAGTTGGGAATCAGGTTCTGACCCCATTTCTCTTTTTGCACCATTTTCCATGCTGCTTTTCCATACCCCTTCCTTTGATGCAAGCATCTGAAATAAATGAACTTCTACTGAGAAATGCTTCCTTCCTCCATTTAATCCTGATTTTGTTTCATAAATGTCCTCTTGCTTTGAGAAGCCCATGTGGAAGTATTTTTATCCCGTGAGAAACGGAACTTCATGCTGGACACGGTGTTGCTGTAATTGCCTGTTCAGTTTGAGCCTTTCATACGGAACTTGACATGAGATTTTATTAATAGAAACATTAATTCTGCCATGTTGACTTGCAGGAACRTTTCTGTTCTGAAAACTTAAATAAGAATATGTTCATGCACTCGAGGCTTTCTGTTTGCTAAAAAAATAGATCAGCACTGTACTCACAAGCAGGCAATTATACAGCTGACACATATTTCTTTGTATACATTTGTTCCTTCACAACTCTTTTTTTTCTTTAAAATCATTTATTTAAAATTAGCATTCCTATGCCCCTTTGGGGGAAAAAAAAAAAAAAATCTACAAGCTACAACTTGTACTGAGTGAAGCGCTTTTAATTCTGCAAACTTCRTGCCTGAAAGAGACAACTTTAATGGAGCTGATCAGATCTTTTGTCTCTAAATTGATTGCCTCGATAGATTTATTATTTTGATTTTTATTTCAATATTACATTGACGGATGGGRCAAACATTATTATCTTCTCCAGGGCACAGCCAACTAAATCAATACCACTAAAATACAGCCAGGGCATGAAGATTCAATTAAAGCAGTGGATACATGCAAACCTTTATTGACTGCTTTGTCACCGCAGCCAGTGTCAGAAGAGCTCCAGAAYGGGGAAGGTTTTGGCTACATCATCATGTTCCGGCCCCTGGGCTCGACCAGCTGGACCAAAGCAGTGGTGGCCTTGGTGGAATCTAGCAAATACGTTTATAGGAACGAGAGCATCACACCTCTGTCTCCTTTTGAGGTCAAAGTCGGTGTCTACAACAACGAGGGAGAAGGGACCCTGAGCTCCATTTCCATCGTCTACTCTGGAGAGGATGGTAACGCAAGTTACTCTTTGTAGTAATGGCTGAGTAGCGCTGGCGGGTCCCAAGTGTGATCAGGAAGATCTCACAGGGATTTAAGGAGCCWGCTCAAAGCTGCTCRTTGAATATTTATAGCAGAMGTGAGGCAGGAGATRGGAAGCWGARGTRAAAAAAGCRAKGGGCARATWTYCAGWAKRGKYYTYRKTWMA